CCAAACCCCCCCCCCCCCCGATTAATGGCAACCTTCTGCCCCAAGCATGGTTCCAGTACTAAAGCTGTACTGCCAGAGAGCGAAAATCCAGCCGGCCGCCGGAGACGGGACGTTCCAGCAATACTAAAACCCTCAAATTTTATTTGGGGGGGGCGTTTTAGGCCACCAGCTGACCTACCTTGCGGGGGAGGGGGGGGTTTATTAATCAAGAGTTGCCATTAGGGTCCAGATAGTCACGAACACCAATGAAGGGCTCCATGCTGTCTCAGTACCCTGCATGTGCACCAGCACCAGCACCTGCACCAACGGCAACGGCAACAACAGCAACGTCGCCATCATCAGAATCGTTTTCATCATGAACAGCATGTTGTCAGCATCAGCAGCGACAGGATCAGTGAGAGCAGAGACGCATACAAAATGGCGCATGGTAACAACAGTGCGCGATCAGTTCCCTAAAAAGCTTCAACTCAATCGCAGGACCACCTTCGGGTTCGACAGGATCGTGGTGAGTCGCTCCTGGCAGGGTATGAACATCACTATCAATTCGAGGCAGTATCAGCCACGCCTTATGTAGCATGCTTGGGGGCTCCGTCTCAGGTCAACATGACTGTCCCACAATACCCAGAGCCGGAAAACCTCCTCTTTCCAAAAACCTTCATCCCAGGGAGCGCAACACTTCGGAAACCGAGGCTTATACCACGCGTCATCCTTATAACTTATAACAGTAACAAGGCAACAATATGACGCCTTTGGATAGATAGACAGATGGAGTGGAGTGGAGTGGAGTGGAGTGGAGTGGAGTGGAGTGGAGTGGAGTGGAGTGGACTACAGTACAGTGTAACAGTGTAGTAAAGGCACAAACTAGTACAAGGGCTCTGTAAGATGATCTGAGGAAAAATCGCTCATGAAAATGTTGTTTCCCTGGGTCTGAAGACTCCTCCCCTTGCCTCTTTCTCTCTCTCCTTCTCTCCGGGGTGCTGTGTTTTCCTACATCCTGAACGGGTTGCGTATGACCACCGCGAAGCGGATACAGCTTAAATTTCGGCTGTAGGGTTCAATTCGGATTTAGAGAAAGCTTCTCTTGGCGGTCCAAACTGTAGACGCAAAGAACGACATGCACTTGTGCCCCACGGTAGTTCGAAGTCTACACCCCAAATCCCAGAGTTCAAGCAGTCGCTGAGTGCAGTCCTTCAGTGTAACGAGGACGAACCTAGTAATCCTCGATGCAATCCCTTAGCCTCCAAACCTTAGACTTAGACTGCACCAACGTCCCCCCCCAGTCCCTCCTCTGAAATGATGCCACTACCAGTGTCATCGATAGCCTTGAAGATGCCCTCCAACCTGAGCTGACGGCATGTAGCCCTTGGGCATTCAGGCTGACCCTGTGTATGCCTCAGAAGATGGAGCTTGGTGTGGAGAGTGTGGTGCTAGTTTCAATGTGGGTCTGAACTATTTAAGTATGTCATGCAAGGACAGATGTGCATTTGACAAAGTTTTCGAGGGTATCTTTAAGACTACAATAGGCGATCACTCAGGGGTTCTATATGACCTAATCGGATGATAATGGTTTTTCGGGTTCACAGCTCAAGTCTCCGGGTTTTTCTGTTTTTAACATCCATGAACTCCATGATCCAATACCAGTTCCAAATTCATCAAACACGCACAACCTGCAAGCTCCTTAATGGCCAGCCACCAGGCTGAACAGCAGCTTGGATACAGCAGGCACGGTCTTTCGGTCGAGCGTTTCAGGTTTAGATATTTATTGCTTTGTGTTATGTAATACGTCTTCACTGTGTACGTGCGCACAAATGAGGAACATCCCGTTATGTGACCCCCAAGGGACCCCAAGTCTCAAGACCATGAGCCTTGTCATCTCGGAGAACACGGAAAAGGTAGGCCCGGGTGACTCTGTTGGATCGAAACAATGGTAAATGCCCCGGGCAGAAGAATAGTGCCTATCCTCGTCGTGTTGTGACAACAACCCTTTTCGAAAACTGTTCTCATGGACAACAGCCAGAACATGTCTGCCTTGCCTGTCAAAAATACCACAAACCGCTGACGACATTTTCTATTTCACCCAACTTGGTGTGGTCCAGTTGGACAGTAATTACAGTCTCAAACGGAAGCCGGCTGCAGAGCCAAACCATCAACAAGAACACAGTCATGCGTCCAACGTGGAAACGTTGCCCCTAACCGTAGCCAATCGCACTGTAGTCTAATCTGCGGAACAAAGTAGCCGGTCTTCCTGGCTACATTATTTTTGTGTGGTCTTAGATGCTACCTCATGGATAGATATGTGAACAAAGCGTTTGCGTTTATGGCAAACTATCGGTTTGCAAAGAAGTGGTTTCTGGTCGGTGCTGTGCACGAATCGTCATCCAGGCCATGGGTTTGACAGTCTTGTTCGGCGAGATGGCGGCTGGTTCTGCTGCGTAGCCTGCATGGTATAGAGCCCAGATCTCCACTGCGTCGCGAATGTTAGTTGGTGCAGTGTTTCGTTAAAACGATATGCATAACATCCATTGGCAGCGGCAAGCGGGAATGCGCAGTGTCATTTCCCAACCTAGTTCACGCAACCCAATCACCGTGAAAGCTTTGAGTTCTGAGAAAGATCACCAACTCCCATGCGTGTGGCTGGAACATGAAGCCCTGCAGGCATTATGTATCGTTGCCCAGCCGGCCTGACAAGCGGGGGGAATTGTATCCAAGCTTGTTCAACATCCATTTGAACGAAGCTAACTGTGTATATATCATGTTATACGTAGTCATATCAGGTTGGCATTGCGGGATACCAGAAGATAACAGTTTGCACCACGGTGAAACAGCAAACGCTGAGACAGCACCACCGTGCCCGCCTGACGACATGTGCAGCTGACCAAACCCGTGACTATGTCAGCTTTTATACAGCTGTGGGTGTGGAGACCAAGCTGGCCATGAACAGCAACACGCTCATCTACTTGATGGGTGGAGGCACCTAAAGTACTGGTGACAAGCTCTGTCAAGAGTGGCATTTCCGAGCTCTATTACCCATGTGACGTGGGCTAAGGCTAAGCGCAGCAAAAGCCAATTGCCAAACGACCGCTCTGTGCACTTGTTCTTCGGGGTTGTGTAGGGATTCGAGCGGGTCAGGGACTTCGCATCGCAGGTGTACAGAGTTCAATATTTCGTTGCTGGGGTGAACTTAGATATCTGGGCGCAGGGTTCAGGCTGATAGCCTGGAGCTCAGCGCTCCAAGCCGCATGATACAATGCGCAGAAGGCCGTGTGTCGTGTGTTGACTGACTGCGCGTACTTATGATCTATCTTCCAAATATGGTAAGGGCAGTCTAGGGCGCCGGGTTGAGAAACCAGCTTCTGTGTTCAGGGCCGTGCAGTCATGGCTCAGGGTTTTCAACCCCAAAACCCTAGACCGACATAGCAACTCCTAGAGTAGCCCTTATCACTTGTCAAATAATCCTAAACCCCAAGTCTAGTAGGAATGGTCTGTCAACAAAAGCAAGAGCTAGCAGAAGTAGTAGCAGCCCAGCAGCAGCAGCAGTAGCAGTGGCAGTAGCAGGAGCAGGAGCAGCCGCAGTAGCAGTAGTAGTAGCGGTAGCGGTAGCAGTAGGAGTGGCATTAGTCGTCGTCGTAGTAACAGTAGTAGCAGTAGTAGTAGCAGCAGCAGCAGCAGTAGCAGCAGTAGCAGTAGCAGGTAGGTAGCAGCTAGCAGGTAGCAGGTAGGAGTAGTAGTAGTAGTAGTAGTAGTAGTAGTACTAGTAGTACTAGTAGTAGTAGTAAGTAGTAGTAGTAGTAGTAGTAGTAGTAGTAATAGTAGTGGTGGTGGTAGTAGTAGTAGCAGCAGCAGCAGCAGTAGTAGTAGTGGTAGCAGCAATGTTAGTAGTAGTAATATCAGTAGTAGGAGTAGGAATAGTTGTAGCAGGAGCAGTAGCAGAAGCAGTCGCACAAGCGGAAGAAGCAACAGCAGCAGATGGAGTCGTGGTAGTATAGTGGCATTTGTTGATTGTCGTTGTTGCTGCTGCTGGTTTTGCTGTTTTGCTGTTGCGTTTGTCAGACGCGTATTGATACTATTGCTTTTGTCAGACGGGTGACTTGACCACAAACTCCTGTTTCTTGTGAATCTTGTCTACCACCAGTGCTTCCGCATCGTTCTGAGCAGCGTCCAGCGTATCCTTCAGGAAAACAGCACCTCAGTCCAGACAAAACTAGGCCCAGGCACCAACGCACAGCTTCTTATTATTTTGGGATTCCCTACTGATAGCGCCCCCTAAAACCGTAAAACCTCAGCAAATGGAACCAGGCACTGATAACGCGAATAATAGCAAACACCACCAGCGTAATGTAGCAAACGAAGAATATGGCGAAGCCGTGGTTAACCTTCTCCAGCACCGGCCGCGTATTCGTGGGCCAATTTCCTTGCAAGCAATCACAAAACAATGTTGTTTTGTGCACGGGATCTTCTAGGTTGAGTAATTACCGGGGCCTCGATAATTAGCATAGGGTTTAGGGGCGTATTTATTCAGACCTCTTTACTTACTAAGTGCTACAGTAGTGGCTCTGCGCCCTGGCGTTTTCAAGCACGGGCTAGCCCAAAAGACGCAAACACATTTCTGTCACAAGACATGTCGCCGGCAAATGTAATTTCGAAAAACGTATAGAGGGCACGGTAGGCAGTGCCATAATGCATCCATATCCACTGACGATCGTCAAGATCTTGATCATCGTCGTCCACGAAACTCTGCAGGAGGTTTCCAAGCATAAGTGCGCCCATGGCCATGAAAATCAATAACAGAACCATTGACCAGCAAAGCGAGGGCAAGAAACATTGACATGCCTGAGCGGGCAAATTTGCTGCTTCACCGGGTGCTATAGCCCACCGCAACATACCAGAACCTAGATTTTCGATCGGTCTCTATGCAGAATTGAATATTTTTAACAGGGTTCATCATCAGATCCTACAAAAGTAGGCTATGGTCATGGTAGCGCAGGGATACGGCACATTGAAGAACCGTGATGTATGTACGGCTTGGGACGTCCTTAAACGAGAGAAATTGCCTTGACCAGCACACGGAGGCCGCGAAAAAAACGCAAGCTGCGCACCATTCCTGTGCTGACTCTTTCGTTCGATTTTGGAGCTTGGGGGTCAGGACTAACTAAACACTTCAGGTCTTACACCCTAGACCCTATATACCCCAACCCGAAACCCCTAGGGTTCCGGCTTGGGGTGTAAGTCTGGGGGAACCCTAAACCTAGAACCCGCAACCCTCAACCCTAAACCCTCAACCCTAAACCCCAAAACCCCCGAAACCCTAAACCCTCAATCCTAAACCCTCAACCCTAAACCCTCAGCCCTAAACCCTAAACCCTAAACCCCAAAGCCCCCGAAACCCTAAACCTAAACCCTCAAACCTAAACCCTCAACCCTGAACCCTAAACCCTCAACCCTAAACCCTAAACCCTAAACCCTCAACCCTGAACCCTAAACCCTCAGCCCTAAGCC